AAGTAGGAAGAAGAGAAAAAACACCCCAAAAAGATAAGTGGTTAAAAGAAACGGAGAAGTTTTAAGAGCCTAGCAAATTTATGTTAATGAGTTCCAAACCCATRTGTCTGGATATCCAAACACATGGATTTGGATATCTAAACACATGGGTTTGGAACTAATTAGCATTCGATGTTGGATCATGGTATCCAAGGGTTTGCACGTGACTCTAAAATAAACATCCGATTGGACTATGAAGTCATGAATTATTAATGAGTTTGAGAATAGAATAATAATAAATATAGCTAATTAGGATCATTAAATGATCAATTTCAGTAAGACCTCAATTTAAGTAACAATGCGCTTAAGAACTTTCYCACGTACGAATGTCTTGGTTTTCACACTGATTATATATCAACCTATGCTCAGCTCTGTTAAGGCATGGCTCTGACTCCAAAAAATAAGAAAAAATGAGAAAAATAATATATATCTAAATTAATATTAATCCAACAAACTTGAAACTTCGACATGACATTGATCAGCAAAAACGTTCTTGTCAGAAAAATAACTGTCGTCATAGCAACACTCACGTGACCTGTGATTAGCATAATAAAGGAGAATCAATGTCCTTTCAAAATTTGRCTGGAAAAAGTACTKAGCCTATTTGAATGTACAAGAAAAGTGAATAGAATTATAGCAAATAGACCAAACTAAKAAGATCCAACTGGAAAACATGTCTTTCTATCAATTTTGAAGAATAAACAGCCAGTCAATACGAGCATTTACGATATTGCGATTATTTATGCAATTTAAGGTTGCTAATAGGGATTTTTTTCATGATTTCCAGTTAGAATAGGCTACTTTAACATTCAAAGATCATTGAAAAGACATAAAATGAGCCAAATCAGTAAATTTTATGCTTTTTCTAGCGCAATTTCATAGTGGTACTTTGTCGATCAAAAATGGCGCGCAGGCTCATACTTTGTTGGTCAGCTGTATACAAGGGAAGAATAGTTTCCGTGGTTACAAGGTTTGCAAGTTGCTTGATTCAAAATGGCGGACGAAGGGAAAGAAATAGGGTTC